ATTTATTTTGCATCACAGTCACGCATTGATTTATATTCTTCCATCAGTTTTTTAAAATACCAAAAATTGCTTATGATCCTACTACACACAAAACACATTTCTTCACTAAAAACTGCCTACTCACAAACTTAAGCACAATGACTTTGCTCCTACCACATCATTCCTCTTGACATTGACGGGTACTAACTGATTTTTCATACCATCTTTCTATCAGTTAGCCCTAGACTCCAACACAGATCAGAGGTAATGTAAGTCAATAAAACCTCACCAACTACAGGGGGTCATATAAGATGCCCCCAGTTTCATTTTTTATATTACACAAGTCAAGAGTCTATTGCATTTACCTGAATAAATAACACGAAGAATATTATTTTTTAAATCCAGATGTCCACCGAATGTTTTTTATGTGGCCACACAATGTTTTTTAACAACCTTTTTTTATGTAAGTAGTAAAAAACCAACTTTCTCTTTTTGTATGTTCAAATTTTAACTTTGTTGTTTTTAATATTGGTATTTTTACTCTCTCTTTTAGTAAACTGATGATGGAATGATACAATTCCGAAAAGATCTTCTTTATAATAAAAAATTTTAAGCTTTTAATAAGCGTTTTTATACCTTAATACACACGAACACCACGTGCTCTTTACTTTTTTGACGTTGACAGCTTTAAAACTGTCATTTGTGTCATGTTATGTCACAAAATACACATTGTGCTGAATTTGCGCTTAGAAGTTAGAATTCAATTTGTCTCTTTTTATTTTGTTTTTGAAATATTAATATCGTTTTATCGATATACTGTTTTAATAATATATTAGGGATGATTTTGAATGAAAAAAAAATATCGGTTTTAATTTTAAAGACATTTTCAAAAAGTATCGTGTTTAAAGAATAAAATCATAATGGTTAATGTTAAAGATATCGCTGAAACTGAAATAGTGGAGATAAAGACACTTTTATGGAATACAAAGCTTTCCAAAGGTCAGATAGTTCAACAGTGTCAAGTAGCGCAAACAACTGGGAGCAATATCAAGAAAAAAATTGGTACCAATAAATCCCTGACTCATCAACGTGCCTAAAAATGTAGTCGAAAGCACGGTACTATACGGAAAGACAAGAGAAAAATGAGCGATATCTTCGTAAACAACAGAAAGAAACCACGAAAAATCCCCACGTGACTTACTCCTAAAGCTGAAATGCCATTTTCTGACATGACAGTCGACAGAAGGCTTACTGAGCAAGGTTTCAAATCATATCGCCGTGCCAAAAAAACAAAGTTGACCGTCAAAATGACGAAAAAGAGACTACAATGGACCAAAGAAAACCAAAATTGGGCAATTGAAGATTTTAATTAGGTTAACTACATCACTATTAAAGTTTAAACAATTATTTTTATTCTAAAAAAATATCACTATTTTTTACTGGCAGGCTTGTTCCTCTGATGAGTCTACAGTGAAGATACTCATGGAAAAGTCGTTCTTCGTTAGAAGAGTGTTGGGTGAAAAATATCAGAAGTATTGCATAGTGTAGCAAGTAAAGCATCCTCTTAAGATCGTGATATGGTATCTGATCAATAGCAAGGGTACAGGGATGCTGTACATTGTGAAGGGAATGATAAACCAACATCAGTATATTGAAGTTTTGGCAAAAGCAGATATCACAAATTAAAGACTGGTTTGGCAAATCGGAAGATTTTACTTTTATGCACGATTTAGCACCGTGTCATAATGCAAAAACATTAACATCGTACCTGAAAGAATACAAAATTAAAGTACTGAAGTGGCCAGGTAATTTCCCAGACCTTAATCCGATCGAAAACCTATGGAAGCTCATGAAGAGGGGATTGATCAAGAAATTGTCACAAATACGCAGCAGTTAATTCAGAGACTCATTGCCACTTGGCACAGAGACGATAAATTAAAAAAATACTGCCTGAAAATCATTGAAAGCATGCCAAGAAGGATTAAAGCTGCCATCAAATCTAAAGGAGGTCACACGAAATATTAAAAAAATTGTTATTTAAGATCAAAGAAAAAATATTTCAAAATTGTGGAAAATAACGTAATCCTGATCTAACTTTTATATTATAACCACAAACACACATCATTAGATGCTTATATGCAGTTTTATTCTTTATTAATCAGCAAAATACAAAGTTTTTTTCGGTGATCATAATAATTTGATCATCCACTGTAGATTGGTCAAACGAAACTTTCATGGCTGCGTAATATTAGACAATCGTGCGGTGCCACAGTAGAAGAGTTATTTCGTGCCTCAGCCGATAGGGATCGATTTCAGGAAATTGTAAACATGATGACGACCAACGTCTGAAAACGGCCATCAGATCTAAATAAGACGGAGATCCAAGTGTGACTGGTAATTTTTTTATTGGCTGTTTATTATTATATTGTTTAGTAAGTGGTTTGTTGACGTTGTTTGTTTTATTTGTAGGTTACGGTTTGTGGTTGTATAATCTGTTTGTGTATAATTTTTTTATTAATATTTTATTTAACTTCCTTAGCTCATTATCTATGTATTTTGGATGCGACAACTTTATGACTTTGTTTTCTGCAACAAAAAATGTTTATAACTATAATAAATGTTTATCAATTATAAAAAAAGGTCAATTATGGATCTTTATTTATATAGCATGTCTTATATGAGAATGACTAACCTTCCAAAGAAAGGAACGTATAGGTTTTAATTATTGTTTCATGTAAATTACGATTATTTTCCATGACTCGTTATATGTACCCCAAATTATTTTGTTCGTTTGTTTTTATATAATACCTTATAATTTTACTATTTATCTTGCCTTAAAATTCCACGTTCTCCTCGATTTATCAGAGCATGAATAACTGAAAGATATCTAAGTATAATAGCTACATATATGCAGCACTTAGGTTAGTTGCGCTGAAACTTGAGATAAGAGAACAGTCAAATACATCTGGAATCTCTTTATATGTTAGGTGACTCTCAATATCTATCATGCGGTTTCATGCAGCTGCTCAGAATATTTATGGTCGAATTCGAATTGAGGATTCATTGAACTATAAATGTAATTGATTTTGATTGCTCAATTGGTTGATAGAGCGATATGTTAAGTAGGAATAATGCTGGAGCCATAGGCGTAGCCGTATATACCTACTATATAAAATAATTATGCTAGTCCTAAATTAACTATTTAATACCTGAGAACAAAAAACAATTATTTGATATTTTAACGAAATCGTAAATTTCAATATGCCCGACTATGTCATTATTTAATATTTTTACCTCGCAATAAACATATGTTACGATAAACTGTTAAACAAATAAAGAGTATTATCTGCTTACGTATCTAAACAGAAAATAGTTTGCTTTAAGTTTGAGTTTCTTGTTTACTTTTATTCCTTTTTGTCTTCTGTTTATACATATTGTTTACATTTTTCACTATTCGTTCTGTGCATAACCATGGAAGGGGCACAGTATAGTGCTTAAAAAGAATCAGTAGGTTCACTCTACCGCTAATCCTTTGTTCTTCATGTTCCATTTTTTTCACGCGCACATGCTCCACGCGCAGATAAATTCCAGTTTTTGATACACTGCTCAATATAATTTTTAATACACTGCTCGAAAATAAATAGGAAAAGTGTGACTTGTGGCGACCTAAAATTTATTTAGATTTTCGGAATAATGAATACTTTCCTAAATTTAGCGTTTTCGACAATTATCAATAGTTTCCAAATAATTATTACTGTTTGTCCTTCAAAATGTTTAATGTTGAATCCATCAGTTTTGATTAATCGAATATTAAATTTTTTGTATGTATTAGAAAATCACGCTGTATTCACTGTTACTGGTGAGAAATCTCATAAAACGAAGAGCTAATGAGGAAACTAATTTATATAGATGAAAAAATAACAATACAATCGAATTATAAATTAAATTTTGAGTTCAGTAAACTTTTGTTCATTAAGGTAACTACGCCACCTAGGAAAGAAATCTGAACTACCAACATCTACCAAAATTAAATATAATTAAGCAAAAGCTGTAAAAATGCTGTTGAGACAGAAAAAATTAAATTTCGGCATTGGAGCGTGTGATACGTTAAAGGAAAGGGCACTACACAGTATCTTCAATATTAATGAACGTATAGCGACATACGAGATATGATAGGGTACTATGAATAAAAATAGATATACCATAAGACAAATTTTGATTTTTTGACTTAAAGAAGGCCTCAGGTTCAGTACAAAATAAGCAACTGATTGAATCCTAACATGCGACATGGCAAATGAAAGGGGAGGATATAACGAATATATTCAGATAGAAAGAATAAACAAGGCGATTACTAAAAGAGCACTACGCAGTATCTTCAATAATAATAAAAGTATAACGACATATGAGATATGATAGGATACTATGAATAAAAATAGATTTACCATAAGACAAATTTTGATTTTTTGAATTAATGAAGGCCTCAGGTTCAGTACAAAATAAACAACCGATTGAATCCTAACATGCGACTCAGCAAATGAAAGGGGAGGATGTAACGAATATACTCAGATATAAAAAATAAACAAGGCGAGTACTAAAAGGACACTGCGCAGTATCTTCAATATTAATGAATCCATAACGACATACGAGATATGATAGGATACTATGAATAAAAATAGATTTACCATAAGACACATTTTGATTTTTTGACTTAAAGAAGGCCTCAGGTTCAGTACAAAATAAGCAACTGATTGAATCCTAACATGCGACATGGTGAATAAAAGGGTAGAATATAACGAATATATTCAGATAAAAAAAATTAACAAGGCCACTACGCAGTATTTTTAACATTAATGAACATATAGCGACATACAAGATAATATCTTATATGGATGATGTGATATACACTATAATATATAAAAATAGATTTCCTTTAAGTCAAATTTTGATTTATTGACTTAAAGAAGGCCTCAGACTGAGCACAAAATTAATTGATCTAATCCTAACATGCAATTTAATCAGCTATTTATTATTTTGTTTAAAAGGTTCAAGAAAGTTATGTAGATTTCCCACAACTATCCATTAATTAGTTTTAAAAATATATGCATACCTTCAATTCTATATGTCAATGATTCCGGAATACTCGCAAATGTTTGTAACTTCTCCACAAGTGTGCCTACAAAATTACAAAAAATAGTTCATGTATTATTAACCTGAAAGAAAGAACATACCTTGAACTGGAATGTTTAATCTCACAAGATGAATACATGTTTTTGCGTTTTTTTTTAACCTGCTTTTTAGCATACCTGCAAAGACCGGTTCCTCAAAATGTAAACTACATAATCTGAAGTGATCATAACAGTATTGAGCACTGTACATGGCAAGTTTTTCACATTGAACCATTTTCTTCCATTCTGCAAACCTAAAAATACAACACAGATGATGATGTCAATGATATTAAATAGAGAATTTAGTTCTTACTGATTTTCATCCTTGGGAAACCTGAAGAAACTCAAGTTCAAGTTGTTATGGTCTCTGGAATTTTTTCTACACACACAGCAAGAATAAACTCTTGATTTGGATGAATTCATCATAATCCGCTGTTTAAAATAATAAAACCACTTAGAAAACTGGAGAAATATCACAGCAATATGTATTAAATACGAAATAAACTTATAAGACTAACTATATAACAACAAATAAATGAAATTTATATATAAATTACTAAAATAACTGTAGTTTCACAGCATAAACACAAACACGTGTTTAGGTAAAATCAATGTTGCCAAATGTAATCAATCAATGGATAGAGACTTATGATTAATTATTTGAGAATAGATTAAGTCAATTAGGCAATATGATTTTTCAAACTTTAGAAGTGTGTATAGTGGGTATGTGAAGAATTTTACCATTTATGAAGGAATATTTTAAATCTTGCAACAGCGGCATTTTTCGCCAAATCTATTGCGCACGGTGTGGCACGGTCCTAGGAGTGGATTCAAAATTGGAACCGTGACCGTGAAAATGCGAGAGTGAACCTACTGACTGTGGTAGGGGTACCTTGAAACGATGCCAGCGTGCGTAGCGGCGAAATATGACAAAATTTGACCTATCTTTTTACGCATAAATTTTATCAAAAATGGGTGCAAATACATTGGAGTTGCGTATTTAATTCTGCTAATAATAGCAAAAAAAGTGATTGTAGTTTTTATAGATTTTTAAAGATTACAAATAAATTAGAAAAAAGAATAAGATGAATTCGTGCTATTATTATGAAAAAATAAATATTACAGTCGGTCAGATAGGTCAGCGGGCTGTGCGGCTGCCTCTCATTCGCTTCACTGTCGAATGGTTTAGTGGATGTGGGTCGAGCCCAAGCTCGGTGTACAGAAAACAAATAGTCTAACGCAGCAGTTTAAAATTCTAGATGAATCTGCGGCTTAGACTAAGATATGCTGGGTTCTGATCGGCCTATGGTGGAGCAGTACGGCAAGAGATAAGGGCTTGCGGCTCGGTAATACTCCTCCATAGATCCCTACCGGACGGGCGTAACGCCTAAAAAACCGGATATATATATAATAAATATTACATAATATCAATTTTATGCAATTGAAATGGAAAAAATTTAAATAATTTATAATATTTTATAAGGCTTCAATCTAACTGCAACCTGCCTGACTTTAGCTTTTATATATCATAACTCTTACTATTATTGTTTTTAGTTACATGCTCTTCCACACAAAAAACTTGATTAGCCAGTACTATAATTTTTCCTGTCTTTGTCGTTTGTGATTGAAAAGATAAATTATGATGAATTTTTAGAAACCCAGTTTTTAATACTACATTTATTTATTTTTTACATAAGCTAAAGAAATATAATTTAAAAACTAATTATTAATAATTATCATTTTCGTATGTATTTAACATATATTTAACCTCAAATTGGGAGGTCCAAAATTGTCAGATGAAGGTGGTAGGTGTCGCATCAGTCACGCACGGAGTGAATAAACTCTTTCGATGTTTTTATTTTGTTGACATTTTACTAGTTTTTTAAGCTTTACTGTATTTTTTCTTTATTCATGTCTCCATATTATTTTTTTCTTTTTTTTGTTTCTTTTTTTCTTAGTTATTAGTTTATTGAAACAAAACTTGTAACAATGAAATACGCTTATCAGGGGCTAAAAGGAGGGACTGGACAATTACTGGCCTTGGAGATAGGATAAGCAAAAAAAAATGAAACTTTTGCGAACGGCTACTTCTGTTTTGGTTAAAGGGCACGGTCGTGGATAAGGATTCCTTTTTTTGGAGGATTGAGAGAACTAACTACAAAAAGGAAATCAGGAAATACTTACAGACATTTCCTGGTAAAATACTACATTTGTAATTTTAAATTAGGACGCCGTTTAAAAAAAACCCTGCTGCTTAGAAAGAAAGGTTTAAGATTTTTCTTTCCTAATCAATTTTAAGGTTGACTAACTTATTAATAGAAATAATTTGTTTAAACTCTTAGTTTAAAGGGAAAAATTTAATATTTATTTTTATTGTATATAAAAAGTTACTACAAAAAGTATTTAATTCAATTTATCAACAAACATTACATTAAACCTTTTAACACAACAGACTTTAAAAACTATAGTTACGTAGCAAGTGGCAGAAAAAGATGTATTAATTATCATAATGTCGAAATGAAACTTTACAAAATTTACTGAATTATTAATTAATTATCTAAGGTAAATTTTATTAAAAAGAAACTAAAATATGACAATTAGCTGAAACATAGTATTTATATTTATCTAGAAACTTTTTATATTGACATGGAAGCAAATTTTTTTGTAATAACGATAAATATTTATTAAAAAAAAATTAACATAACTGCTTGTTTTACTGGCTAGTTTTTCCTTTTTAAATTATTACAAAAGTTTGGTATGCTACAGATGAACAAAAAAACATTGTATTACAAACTTTAAATGACCAAAACTGATCTTCGGGTTATCCTGGGTGTAACAAAATGTGATTCTTCAAACTTGGAAGCTTATTTTCCACTTAAAACTACGTTGGCGTAGTTAGCCCTCAGGCGCTGTTATCAAATCTCTTGTCACAGGATACAGCTTACAACCAAATATTACAAATTTATTACAATTAAAATATTACATATTACAAATATTTGCACATGGCATTTTGAGCTCTCATTACCTTCTTCTTACCAAAACTCATGAAATTAAGGGAAACTTGCCGGTTTTTAAAACTCTATGACAACGAACCTTCTTCCTTAGTCGCTGCCATCACCTCTCCTAACTCCTTTTTTCAAGATCGTAGATTCTCGCACTCTAGATCTAAAATTGTAACCAAAACTCAATTAAGACGAGGTCAAATTCCACAATTAGGCCGTTAACATTTTTGTTCCCAGATGATTTGGCAAAAATAGTTATGCTTAAACAGCATCAGCCAGAGACATATAAAATAAATTTTTATATAATATTTGGTATTTAAGGAAAAAATATATACTACAAACTTATTAAAAGTTATAGTGTTATTCCATGTATCTGAATATTACATGCGACTCCTGTATGTTTCATTTAAAAATATTTACGTTTTTTTACTCAGGTATTAGTTTTTATATATTTGCAATTATACTATCTGTTTTATTATAAATTTTTTATTACCTTCTCCATTATTTCACTATGAAGTGTGTGTGTCTTATGTGTTTGTGTTAAGTAAATGCTTTGTCGCTATGTAAAGTATCCTTCATGGTCTTTACAAAGAATCGCTTATTGTCTATGTCTAAATTTTCATTCCTTCTTCTTCTTAACGTGCCCTATCAATTCCCCTTGACGTTGGCGATTAACATGGCGAAACTGTCTTTGTCTCGAGCTATTCTAAAGAGTTGCTCAACTTTCTTTATTCCTGTCCACTCTCTGATATTCTTCAACCAAGACGCCTGCTTTCTACCAATTCCTCTGCGTCCTTCGATTTTACCCATCATAACAAGTTGAAGAATATTATATTGGTCTCCCCTTACTACGTGTCCAAAATAGGCCATCTTTCTACATTTGATGTTATCAAGCAGCTCGCGAGCAGCATTTGCTCTCTCAAGGACTGCCACATTTGTCAGCATAGCCGTCCATGGAATTTTTAGTATACGTCTGTGCAGCCACATTTCAAAGGCCTCCAGACGATTATTGGTGGATATTTTTAATGTCCATGCTTCAACACCGTGTAAGAGGACTGACCAAATGTAATGATTCTAAGCTGCAGACTAAAGTCTGACCTTGTAAAAAAATGTTTTCATGCTCATGAATGTTTTTCTTGCTTGTTCGATTATTGATAGGATTTCTTTTTTTGGATTGCACTGAATATTGATATTTACTCCCAAATATTTTATAGAATTTATCTGTTCTATTATTTGACCCTTGGCATACACATGTACGTTTATTGGTATCTCTGAAAATACTTAAGTTTTAGTTTTGGAAACGTTTAGATGTAAACCGAAACTTTCGCTGTGGTGAACTAATGCATTTATTTTATTTAGTAGTCCTTGTGCGTTGCTTGCTATTAAGATGGTATCATCAGCATATCTGATGTTGTCTATGCTAATTTCGTTAATCTTAATTCCGCCTTGGACCTCGTATAATCCGTCTCTGAGTATATACTCCGAATACAAATTAAACAGTAGCGGTGATAAGATGCAACCCTGTCTTACCTTACTCCTTGTCGGATTTGTATATCTTCGGATGTTGTTTACTCTATTTGAATTACTGCCGTTTAGTGCCAGTATAGTTCTAAGATTATCTGCAATAAGTCTTGTTCGTCAACTCCAGTTGTTCTTAGAATTTAGATCATCTTTTGATGGTTAACGCAGTCAAATGCTTTTCGATAGTCAATAAAACATGCATATACATTTACATTCATGTCTCGGCATCGTTGCGTTATATAACACATTTAAAGCAAAAAGAGTCTCTCGTGCTCCCAATCCGTTTTAAAATTAAAATTTAAAATAAATTTTATTATTTTCACAATGCTATTGTCTGGACCGGTGGCTTTTCTATCTTTCTGAGACTTTACTGCGTAAATAACCTCTTATTTGCTTATTTCTGGGTCTTTTTCATTTAGTCGATTATCTGAGGATGGTCTATCGTCGTTAAGAGTGTTTGTATCTATTCTTTTTATCTCTTTAGTTTGTCTTCTGCACCCATAATTATTTCTTTATTATCATTTTTTATTACTGTTGCTAGTCTCTTTTTGTGTCACTTCTCCTTTTTTATGAATATTCTTTTTAAGGTGTCGTATTTTTTCCTGATGTGGTTCGGTTTCAAGGAATAAAGAAAGCTGAGCAACTATTTAGAATAGCTCGAGACAGAGACAGTTTTGCCATGTTAATCGCCAACGTCAAGGGGAATTGATAGGGTAGGTTAAGAAGAAGAAGGTTCGATTTCTAGGCATTTTGTTGACATCCAGTTTTCTGTCCGCACTTCTTTCTAATGATTTTATTGTTTCGCTTGTATTCTATTGGGCTTGTTTTAGGTTTTTTTCTTATGTCCATGAGATCCATGATCTATTGCCTTATCCATTTTTATTTTTTGTTGTATATCTTTTAGTAGATACAAGTAATCTGCTTGTATCTTTGTTATTTTTTTAGAGCAGTCTGCACCAAATTTTAGATCGTTTTTATTTGTTCTTCAAGCTTGATACTAATTTCTTTTTTCTGTTCAGGGTTCTTCAGTTGCGAGATGTCTGTTTTTCTTGTCA